AACTGGACAGAACTTCTGAGAAAAATATTAGACGAATTAGATGAATATTTAAAGAAACAGCATTTACTAATGATTGCAGAGAAAAAGAGACAGGATATGAATTCACATATAAGGGAACATTCTGAAGCTATAAAAGATATTAAATTAGGAAACATGCCTGGACTAGGTGAATTATCAGATGCTTATAAATTTTTGAGGATGAACTTTTACGGCTTTTATAAAATATGAGGAACGCAATCCTACAGGGAGGAAAGATACCAGAGTTGAAAAAGGGTAATATACAGTGGTGGTATACAAATATTTTTACTACCAGTTCTGTGGGTGTGGCTTAGTGGGTATGGCAGGGGAAAGATACTGTTAAAATCTCCAGTCAGAGGTGGTATTTGCCGATTGTCTGAACTACTCAAAATTTCTGCTACAGGTTCTCCAGAGCTGGTCAGAACCTGCTGAATACCACCTCTGGTAATATAGCATTAATACTTAATGAAGAACAAGATTTGATTTTAACAAAGAAAACCCTGCAGCCTGGTATCATTGAATATCATAATACTATGATAATACAAGTTGTTCACAATGATTATATTTATTTATTTAATTTATATTGCTGCCTATTTGCCCATGGCAATGCAAGGTAGCTTACCCAATGTAAAGCCATATTTAAAACAAAAAATAAAAATAAAAAACAATAAAAACTAACGAAAAGAATCAAATAAATTAGTAAAGTACAATATAGCTGATAGACTGAAAATAATTTTACAAGAATTTATTTAGAAGACCAATGTGGGTTTTTAACCAAAAAGACAGTTAAAGGACAATGTTAGAAATCTGCTGGAGATTTTTGAATATTTGGAGTAACATAATGAAAAACAATTCACACCGATTGCCTTAGATATGCAAAAATGGCCTTTGACAATTTGAACTGAAGCTTTCTTGTTTAAGGTTTAGGAAGATATGAATTTTGGAGAGAACTTTATAAAGTGGGTAAGATTGATATACATTTCACAGAAAGCACAAAGAATTGTTAACAGAGATCTAACAAAATCTTGTGAGATACAAAAAGAAAGAAGACAGGAATGCCCACTGTCTCCTCTCTTCTTTATTTGGATTGTTGAAATACTGACCAAGGATATAAGACAAGATAAGAGGATTGTGGGAGTAAAGATTAAAAAAGAAACTTTTAAGTTAAAGGCAAAATATCCATCCCCTTGGCAATATCCAATGGATTCCAAAGAATCATGTTTGAATATTTTCATTAGCATTTACATTTCAGTGAAAAACAAAATACATTAATAACAGGGTTTTTGAAAGTATACCTGTTGAACAAATAACTGGTGATGGGATCCTGGGAAGAGATGACGGAGTTGCTACTTTCAGGAGCAAGATAAGGTTAGTTGAGGTGGTTGAAAGCAGGTTCCCTGGATTTTCTCATAAGCAGCTGCTCTGCAAAATGTTCTAGTGCACTGAGCAGCTTCCAGTGCAAATAATGGTGGCTATATAATCAAAAGATGCCAAGCAACGAATAAAAAAATCCAATGTTCAATAGCCAGCTGCCCAGTTGTATCAAAGTACCAGTTAATGTCAAACTCTTCCAGGATAGCTTGACATACTAGCTGGGATGGAAGTGGAGGAAAGGAAAGGAGAGTACAGCTGGAGTCTCCCTCTACTGATTGACAGGACAACGGGGAGCAGGGTGTTGTTGGAATCTAATGACTTGGAAGGGACCCTCTCAATAAAGGAATGAATCAATGTAGTCTGTTCTTAAATCAAACAAATGGTGTGATATGATTGCCAAGATGAAACTACCACACCCCTCCTCCTTGAGAGTTTTGCAGGGATTACAGACAGATCCATCTATCCGACTCCTTTTCTCATTTGGAGAGTGGTGCCATGTTCCACCTAGACCACATCAAGGCACTGCACTTATCCCTGCTTGAGAAACTTTGAGGCTGTTTTTGATTGACGGGGGCAGCTAAGTTTAAGCTCTCAAGGAGAGCCCACTTTTCTGCATATTCTCTTTCAGCCCTTTGGCAAAAGCATCTAACCAGGGTGTGCATCTTTCCAGAGAACTGGCCTTTCAAATGTGCACTGGAAAGACCAAGTGCCAAAAGTAGTGGGCGGGACTAGGGCAAAAATGGAGTGCAATGTTACAATTTGATAATGCAAATATAATTATTCTCCGGTCAGATATTTTATCATTTCTCCTTCCGTCCCAGTAGTGTAAAAGCAAAGTCCAGTACAGGTAGTCCTTGACTTATGACCATAATTGAGCCCAACATTTCGGTTGCTAAGCAAAACATGTGTTAAGTGAATTTGCCCTATTTTACGACTTTTCTTGCCACAGTTGTTAGTGAATCCGGTTTTCCCATTGACTTTGCTTGTAAGGTTGGAAAAGGTGGTCACGTGACCCCAGGACACTGCAACCGTCATGAATACAAGTTGGTTGCCAAGCGCCTGACATTTGATCTCATGACCAGGGGGGGTGCTGCAAGGGTTGTAAATGTGAACAATGGTCGTAAGTCATTTTTTCCAGTGCCACTGTAACTTTGAACAGTCACTCAATGAACTGTTGTAAGTCAAGGACCATCTTGTATTCTCTTCTGATTTTGTAGAAGTTGTGGAAGTTTCATCACTGGAAGCTTTCAAGAAAAGATTGGACTGCCATCTATCAGAAATGGTGTAAGCCCTGCTTGCGGGGGTGGACATAAGCTTCCTAACAGACAGGAAGCAGTAGGTGAAGCTAGGCAGAATCATATCCGATACCTGTATAATCAGCACAGGGCCACCCCCCAAGGCTGTATGCTTTCTCTACTTCTCTTCTCCCTATATACCAATGACTGCATCTCAAACGATCCATCTGTTAAAATACTGAAGTTGCTGATAACACAACAGTAATTGGTCTCATTCAAGACAACGACGAATCTGCATACAGAGAGGAGGTGATACAACTTGCCTCGTGGTGTAACCGAAACAATCTGGAACTGAACACACTCAAAACCGTAGAAATGGTGGTAGACTTTAGAAGAAACCCTCCTATACTACCACCTTTTACAATACTAGACAAGAGACGTTCAAATTTCTAGGTTCTACTATATCACATGACCTAAAATGGACACCTAACATCAAAAATGTCATCAAAAAAGCACAACAAGGAATGTTCTGTCTGCGCCAACTCAGAAAGCTCAAACTGCCCAAGGAGCTGCTGGTCCAGTTCTAGAGGAATTATTGAGTCTATCATCTGTACCTCTATAACTGTCAGGTTTGGTTCTGCAACCCAACAAACAGACACAGATTTCAGAGAGTAATTAGGACTGCAGAAAAAAACAATTACTACCAACCTGCCTTCGATTGAGGACTTGTATACTGCATGAGTCAAAAAGAGGGCTGTGAAAATATTTACAGATCCGTCACATCCGGGACAAAAACCGTTTCAACTCCTTCTCTCAAAATGATGCTATAGAGCACTGCACACCAGAACAACTAGACACAAGAACAGTTTTTTCCTGAAAGGCATCACTCTGCTAAACAAATAATTCCCTCAACACTGTTCAACTATTTACAAAGTCTGCACTACTATTACTGTTAATCTTCTCATCATTCCTTATCACCCATCCCCTCCCACTTGTGACTGTATGGCTGTAACTTTGTCACTTGTATCCTTACGATTTTTATTGACTGTTTCCTAGTATGATTTGATTGATGATTATACCCTATGACTATCATTAAGTGTTGTATCTTATGATTCTCGACTCTTGACAAATGTATCTTTTCTTTTAGGTATACCCAGAGTATTTACACCAAGACAAATTCCTTGTGTGTCCAATCACACTTGGCCAATAAAGTATTCTCTTCTCTTCTCTTTTCTTCTCTTCTCTATGACCTATAATGTCCCTTCCATCTCTGTTAATCTATATTCCAATGCCTATCCCAATGCCATCCATTTTCCAAATGAGCAAAGAGTGCCCTCTTGTGAATAGAAATAGCTCATACGGGCTGAAGACTAAAAAAAATACATTAGTCAAATTATCTGGCCCAGCATTATCTAGATTTGCCCAGAATCAAGTAAATGCATTCTGAAGTACTAGTGTACAAAAGTACAAAACATATTAAGCACAGAATAGAATAAATCCAGGGAGCTCAAACTACTAGCAAGAATCAACTAATAATTGATGAAGACGAGATTTGTTTTGAAAAGGCAATCATTAAACTCTGCAGGCTTCATGGTAACTCAGAAGGTTCTCGCCTCTCATTTACTCACTGTATATTTTGTGCAACCTGACTTAACACATGTACTGAGAAAAGTCAAGCATATCTAACATACACATGAAGAAATATGGACAATCCCGCAAATCTTTTACCAATCCATTTGGGAGACAGTCTCATTAAAACCGGAGGATAGGCAAGCACAGGACTCAAGAGATGGTATATTGGCCGTGGGTTTCTTTTCTCGGGCTAAAATCCTTGAGAGGAATTTAGTAAGAATTTAGCGCCCCCCCCCTCCCAAAAAATACAACAACAACAACCAAACATGAAAAATACGGCGGGAAAATATCTATATTGCGCGTTACCGGCACCCTTACCTCGAGTCAGCGCCGGTCACGTGACGGAGCCATACTATTGCGATTGGCTTCGAGAGAAGGGGCGTGTCCCAAGGCGCCACGCGGCCTATAAATAGAGACGCAGGCCGCGTATTCGCCCTTTTCGTCGTGGGATCGAGAGATTGAGAGGTGTGTGCTTTTGCGACCTTTGTTTTTGGTAGGTGTAGTCGGCTAGGAAAGACACGAGTGTATCTGCGCCGCAGTAATCCGAACGATCGTCAAGTGGCAAAAACGTTTGCAGCTTTTTACAGAACGTCCCTTTGTTGCCATCTAGCGGTCGTTGGGATTTCTGCAGCCTAACCCGGATTGCGATTGGAGGCCTGGCAAATGTTATTTGACCCACAACTTATTTTCGAATAGAAAACGCCTGAGCCTGGAGCAGACGCGCGTTGGTCATGAGTACGGCAGGGATCGCGTCATGCCTCGCTGTTCTGATTTTGGGGGATTTGTCTTATTAACTGCACTCGTACACCTTTGCTTAAGGGATGGGCAGCTCACGACGGCAATTACTGGCTTTTAGAGCCGTTTTACGAAACGCCACGTGGAGCTATCAGCGGAGAAGATGATGGAGAACGCATTGCGTTATGAGAAATGTATTTGAGAACGACGAGTTGGATGTGCTTAAGTGCCCTTGAATGCATTGTCCTTGATGCTGACAAACTCTCAGTCAAAGGGAGACTTTGGGGCTTCTTAGGGTTATAGTGATGTGGAGGTGCATTTCCCTCTTAGGTTTTATGGTCGAGCCTTTACCAGGAGATTATATAGTTTGCTTTTGCAAGGACTCGAGAGAGATCCGATATATCTCCCTGTTCCAGAGGAAGATTTGTGAGCTTTGGAATATGACTGCTGGTGCCAAACGAAACCAACCCCCCCACTTACACACAAACACACACTTGTGCTTTCAGGTGTGTTGTGCTCCTGACTTATGTGATGCTTTCTGGTTTGCATGTTTGAAAAAGGAAAGTTGGAATTGGTGAATAGGGAATGACTCATTTGCCATATAAAAAGAAAGGTTAGAACTTTGTTCTAGCTTAGATGACAGCTGTATGCTGTTGGAAAGGGGAACTTTTTCCTCCTCAAAGGTGAAAGTGCCAATGGTCCTGTAGTGAAGCTGCTTAGAAGCTGCTAGTTTAGAGCAAACAAAACCAAGTTTTCCATAGAGTGGAATTTATGAGCACAAGAGTGATGGCTACTTTGGATGTTGTTAAAAGGAGTGAAGAAATTCATGTGTGACATGTCTGATAAGGACTGATTAGTCTTGAAGACTCAAGGGTTTTTCCCTACATTATTAGCCTCATGTGTCCAAAGAACTGCAGTAGAAGAGGGATATATCTGCATCTCCTTGTGAGCACATCAAAATAAACCTTTGTAATCCTGCTTTTGGGTGAGCTATATTGGGAACCCTATGCTGGCTGCTGTGATGATAATTTTGGCGTGTTAGACTGCTGATGCAGATGAAGAGACCATGTATCTGAGCCACCAGCATCAGTTGCCCAGGGTGCAGATAACGGTACCCTAGCTCTTAATGTTCAATAGTATGCTTTTGGTTTTAAAAAAATACATAAAACTAATCTCTAGATCTGAACAAAAGTATCTGAGTGTTCTTAAATCACTACCTTAAATCCTTTTTTTCTCTCTCTAGGTGTTCTAAGATCGTCTTGATGCTGAATGAAAATCTTTGGAACCAACTATCTTGAAAGCAACACAAAGAGGGCTGATGTGGGGATGTCTTGAATGTTGTAAATAAATAAATAAAATTTAAAATTTAAAATCTCTTTACTTTGGATATTTTTTTCAGATAGGTTTGAAGCACTGCCTTTGAACTGGTGTATGGCCCATTCATGGTCTCACTGGCTACGCTACAGTGCAAAAATAAAAGGCTTGCTTATAACTGGTGTTGCTCAGCTTAAACCTGAGTGATTCTTTTAAAGACAAGTTACAATCCATCTGATGCTTAATGTTCAAATATGCAAGTTCCTCAACTGCATTGAATGTTCAGAGGCTTGATCATCTGAAGGGTGTATTATGCAGGAGTGCTTCAATTTTATCTTGTTGCTGGAATATCTGAAGATCACATGAATTAAAAGAAGGAAAGATTGGCTTATTTATTACTTGGGCTTTTATTACCTGACAGTCTTTGCATAATCCCATTTTCAAAGAATATGGTAACAACCTAGCATCAAGCAAAAGTGTTGGGTAAAACCCCACTCAAGTTACAATGCACCGCAGCTCACTGCAATCTTATTGGTGCTATATTTCATCAAAGGGCACATGCCCACCCGATTGCTTCCTACTAAATATTACCTCCTAGAACAGGGGTGTCAAACTCGATTTCATTGAGGGCTGCATCAGGGTGGTTTGACCTTGGAGGGTGTGGTCAGCTTGACATCACTCATGTTGGGGTCGCCTATGGTGGCTTGAGCGCTCTGCCGGTGAAAATGGACTCCCAGGTTTGTGGCTGTAACAGCCTCCTGCAACTCTGCCAGCGAAAACAACTCCCTCCCAAGCTCCATTTTCACTGGCAGGCACTGTGGGCCAGTCCTTCGCTATTTCCAGAGCAGCCACACAAGTCCCCGGGCCTTGAGTTCAACACCCATGTCCTAAAAGGATAACTCAAAGATGCCTCAGGTTCTAAAAGTCTGCTTGACAATTGGTAGCACACAACAAACTAGCAAAGTGCACATTACTCATACAAAACAAACCCTCAAAAAATGACAAGATTATGCATGGAGGGTGGGCACTCCTGTATGGGACAAACCTTTGGCATGCTAGTAGAGTATCAAAGAAAATCCAGCAGTCAAGGTAGGGTAGTCCATTGCTAATTTCCTTCTATGCTGCTTAGGACACAACTTCAACTGAAACAAATTTTAGAACAAACTAGATTTAGCCACAACTTTATAGTATGGATAAACCTTACCAGAGTTCTTTGCAAAGAAAGGCTCAAGCATGCGTGTAACTGACAATCTGTCAACCAATTGTATCTGCTTTAATGCCGAGTATAGTGGGATAAGCAACTCAAGCCTATTAATAGTGCAACATGTTGCATATTTAGCTTGAAATTAGGTTTTGCCAATATTTCAAAGAGGGTGAACTGATCTATTCATGGATAAAATTTTCTTTGGGGGAACAGTTCTACAGAGCACTCTCAACCTTTTTTTTTTAACCTGGAGGAATCCTTAAAATGTTCACATCTCTGGGAAACCCTATAGTCTCCTGAGAGACTATATCCTGTATCTATAGTTAAGTCAAGATCTCTTGCAAGATCTGGGAAAACTAGTAATGCTATCAAATTGATGCTGGTTAAATTAGCATAATGTGGTTGTAATACAACTCAGTCTGGGTACTTGTGACTGCAAATTCAATTGGACTTAGATTTGCAGTGCTAAACCATGGCCTCTGGTTTAATGTGATGAACACAGTCTGTCCCATGTAGTTCCTAGTGTCTGGTTATTTAGGGAAAAGGCCTGAACCCTTTGTTGTGTGTCTGGTCTCTGGCATAGCTTTAATTTACATCCTATTGAGATGCTGGCTGTAATAGAAACGGGTGCATCTCTTGAGGCAGCTGATCAAGAGATACAATTACTTTTATTGAGCAGCAATTTTGGAGATTTTCTGAAACATTTGATCAATAGTTTGCACAGCTGTAATACCGAACCGTGTTTTAGATCACAGTGGTGTATTAGTACAGAAAGAAAGAAAAACCCTGCTCTTAAGGACTGTTGGGTATGTAGCAAGTCTTCCTATCTGGGAAGCTAACTTATTTAGAAAATAAGACTTGTAGATGGAAATGGACTGCATCCACTAAACCTTGCTTTACAAATGGAAGATTTTTTTTACACTACCAAAAAAACCTCCCCAGGCCTTCTATTTGGAGCAAGATTCAGGGGGCATCCTGTAGGAATGTAAATTAAATCCTAAAGAATTGTATACTATTTAAATTCTAGAACAGTGGCCCCCAACCTTTTTTGAACCAGGGACCGGTTTCACGATTATTTATTCTTCCACGAACTGATACCTGAGTAACGTGAGACTCCACTGCCATTGGGAGGCTCTTCGTTCAAAGCCGCCCCCCCCCCCTTCAACAAAATTAAGGTGCAAGCACCCAAACGCTGCTTTCCAACTGAAACCGGAAGCACTTTCCAGCCAAAAACCCGGAAGCGCTGTCAAAACAAGATGGCGGCGCCCAAGCTTTGCGGCCCGGTAAAAAATGATCCACGGACTGGTAGTTGGGGACCCCTGTTCTAGAGCATTTTAAGCTCTGGCTTAGTCCCCAAAGAATCTTGAGTACTCTGCTTAGAGGACTGGCTGGCTCCAGTTGCCATGAGACACCTATTTTGCCTGACTGTTCCCACAAAAAATACACTGCTCAAAAAAAATAAAGGGAACACAAAAATAAGATCCTAGATCTGAATGAATGAAATATTAAATACTTCATTCATTACATAGTTGAATGTGCTGACAACAAAATCACACAAAAATTATCAATGGAAATCAAATTTAGCAACCCATGGAGCTCTGGATTTGGAGTTACGCCCAAAATTAAAGTGGAAAAAAAACACTACAGGCTGATCCAACTTTGATGTAATGTCCTTAAAACAAGTCAAAATGAGGCTCAGTAGTGTGTGTGGCCTCCTCGTGCCTGTATGATCTCCCTACAACACCTGGGCATGCTAATGAGGTGGCGGATGGTCTCCTGAGGGATCTTTTCCCACACCTGGACTAAAGCATTCCCCAACTCCTGGATGGTCTGTGGTGCAATGTGGCATTGGATGTCCCAGATGTGCTCCATTGGATTCAGGTCTGGGGAATGGGCGGGTCAGTCCATAGCATCAATGCCTTCGTCTTGCAGGAACTGCTGACGCACTCCAGCCACATGAGGTCTAGCATTGTCTTACATTAGGAGGAACCCAGGGCTAACTGCACCAGCATATGGTCTCACAAGGGGTCTGAGGATCTCATCTCAGTAACTAATGGCAGTCAGGCTACCTCTGGCGAGCACATGGAGGGCTGTGTGGCCCCCTAAAGAAATGCCATCCCACACCATTACTGACCCACTGCCAAACCGGTCATGCTGGAGGATGTTGCAGGCAGCAGGTTCTCCATAGCATCTCCAGACCCTGTCACGTCTGTCATATGTGCTCAGTGTGAACCTGCTTTCATCTGCGAAGAGCACAGGGTGCCAGTGGTGAATTTGCCAATCTTGGTGTTCTCTGGCAAATGCCAAACGTCCTGCAGGGTGTTGGGCTGTAAGCACAACCCCCACCTGTGGATGTCGGGCCCTCATCCCACCCTCATGGAGTCTGTTTCTGACCGTTTGAGCAACCACATGCACATTTGTGGCCCGCTGGAGGTCATTCTGCAGTGCTCTGGCAGTGCTCCTCCTGTCCTTCCTTGCACAAAGGCGGAGGTAGCGGTCCTGATGCTGGGTTGTTGCCCTCCTACAGCCTCCTCCACGTCTCCTGATGTACTGGCCTGTCTCCTGGTAGCACCTCTATGCTGTGGACACTACGCTGACAGACACAGCAAACCTTGCCACAGCTCGCATTGATGTGCCATCCTGGATAAGCTGCACTACCTGAGCCACTTTTGTGGGTTGTAGACTCCGTCTCATGCTACCACTAGAGTGAAAGCACCGCCAGCATTCAAAAGTGACTAAACCATCAGCCAGAAAGCATAGGAACTGAGAAGTGGTCTGTGGTCACCACCTGCAGAACCACTCCTTTATTGGGGATGTCTTGCTAACTGCCTATGCTTTCCACCTGTTGTCTATTCCATTTGCACAACAGCATGTGAAATTGATTGTCAATCAGTGTTGCTACCTAAGTGGACAGTTTGATTTCACAGAAGTGTGATTGACTTGGAGTTACATTGTGTTGTTTAAGTGTTCCCTTTAATTTTTTGAGCAGTGTATATCTTTCATGAGTACTGGATATAAGAGCTGAAATGTTCAGAATTGTAGAATACGATTTGGTAACTTCAGTATTTCAGTCTTATTGAACTACGAATGCTATATTAGCAATAGCAATAACACTTAGACTTATATACCACTTTATAGTGTTTTACAGCCCACTCAAAGCGGTTTACAGAGTCAGCCTCTTGCCCACAACAATCTGGGTCCACACTTTACCCAACTTGGAAGGATGGAAGGCTGAGTCAACCTTGAACCTGGTGGGATTCAATCTGCCAAATTGCAGTAGGAGTAGCTTGCAGTACTGCACTCTAACCACTGCACCACCGAGGCTCATTATTCCTGGATATGCACCCACACTTCTACCCCTCCAAACATCAAAACAGATTTTTGAGATGGGATAAGTTTATTTGAAAAAACAAAGCAAGCCCACTGTAGTAACCCACACAGTCTGATTACGAAGTGCAGTGAATTTACTTGTGCCAAACCTGGATAACTGATTACATATTTGTGCATCTAGTATTTTGACTTATTGCACAGAGGGGGGAAAAAGAGCTGTGAATAAGACATGCAGATTTAAGAGGAAGGCAAATGCTTTCATTGAGAGATGAGAAGAATAGTACATAAAATGGAATGGTCCCAGAGTTGAGGTAACAAAATAGTTGTCCAAATAATATGGTATCAATATATTAAATGCTAAATTTTAAATATGTTTCAGGCAAGGCGCTTTTAAAAAACAACTTCAATTAGCTTCATTTAGAGATTGCAAATCATGAGAAATTTGGACGCAGGAACCTAACAACATACAAAAATCTTAAAAATACGTAAAGCCTAGTATACTATCGAAGTGAGCTCCATAGCTCACCTGCTTTCTTTGTAAACTAAATTAACATTCTTTCAACATAAGTAGTTGGCAATACTGAGTATCAAGAAACACTCACTGCTCATGTAGTGTTCAAAAGAGATTCAGTATTATGTGTTTAGTCCATACAGAAAAACAGCAAGGCAGTGTTCTCTTGGCCATTCTCACTTGTAGTGCTTTGGAGTTGTTACTTTCACACAGGGATACCAAGCCAGCCTACAAGGTGCTTTAGCTACACTGACAAAAAACATGAGCTGTAATCAGGATTTGCACCTTCTTAAATGGATAAAAAGAGGATCCACTACATAGTTGGGAACAAAAACAGCTGTGAACATTCTGGTTGGTGAAAGTGAATGGCTCCTTCCATGCAATCATTTCCGATGAGTACATGCATGGCCTTGGACATTTCCATGTGTAGTCAATTCCGAAAGCCATCAATCACAAATTCTGCAATTGTAACACACTAACTAGAAGGCTTACTGTAGTTTGGTCTCATGGCTTTATCTTAATTTGTTTCTTTTTCTAAAGAATCACAAGATCCCTTAAAACCAATTCTGTATGTTTGCATGTTTTATATGGCTACTTGTTTCCAAGAAACTCAATTTCATATGAAAAAAATAAGTTACTAGGCATAATCTACATGGATTGACAATATCACCTATACATCTAATGTACATTCTTAGTTCCAGAAAACCATTCCAAATTTGCTTGACACAAGCTATTGGGACTGCAGGAGTGAAGAACATGCCGCTTCCATTTGTATCTCCAGCTGCTTGAGAGGAGAAAGTCTTCCAGTTAGACATGTTAGTGCCTTATTGAAAACAAGTTCCATATGGCTGGATAAAACAAACTGTCAGTGTTCAGGGTGGATCCTGAATTACTGCACATCCATAAAGAACTCTCATGTGGATCAAATCTGTTGGATCAATTGCTGCTAGTTGCATTTTCTTTTCCTAGTTTACTGCAGAAGAGTGCATATTAACTACTAGGTTTTAAACCCTAGCAGAAATGGGACTAATGCTCTAAAGTCAATAGAGAGCCATAACTGGAGCAATTATTGGCAGAAGCGATCTTATCTTTAAAAAAATAAGACATGGCACAAGGACAAAAATCAGCTAGACTGTTTCATTTGAAAGAGAACATGAAAACAACATCTGTTAATACTGTAAACTGCAGTCTTCACATTTCATGGCTGCTCCAATTCGGTTTCTTCAGGAACTTTCATAGGGCACATAGATGAGCGGGGGTCCATGACTGAGTGCATTAGAGGAATATAAAGATCGTCCATGTTTGGCATGACAAAAATTTTCTGCAAGGTATAATAATTGAGTTAGAATGCAATTCTAATGTAAAGTCAGGAAAAATTAAAGATACCATACTCTTATTTTAGACTCGAGCCAAGTAGAATTCTAAACAGGTTTATTGGAATCAAGTAACATTATGGATCCCTAGTAAACATCTATCTACCTTAAGTTTAGATTTAGAACAGAGCCTTCATGGGTATTAAAGCAACATTTATTTTTTATAGTTTACAAAAATCTTAATTCCATTACATTTCAGCAAATATTTTTTTAAAAATAATTGACTTTGCTATTGCCCCTTGCCCCCATCATTCCAATTTTTAAAAAAGGAAATAGCTAGACATTTGAATAGATATATTTAACAGTTCAATAAATTCTAGAAATATAGTCAATAGAAAAGTATGAATAACAATTTATTCAAACTATTTGTCCCACACCAAAATCAGTCTTTCTTTATGAGATTATCCACAATAATATTCCTTCTAATTATTCTATATCTGTTTTTTAGTTTACTTATCATTGCACCTCATACAACAAAATTAAATGCCATCTTCAGTGTACATTATAACCATAAAAAAACCACTAACATACATCCTTCACATTCTATACAACCCCCTGATATTGCATTAATATTGCACTATACAGTAGAATTCAAAAGAGCTACTGCCCTGGGATATAAGCTGTTTTTCAGCCTATTTGTCCTTATTTTTATTATCCTGTACTGCCTGCCAGATGGTAATAGTTAAAAAAAAAGGGGGTGCCCAGGATGAGATGGATCTTTGAGAATGTTTTGAACTTTCTTAAGGCAGCGGGAGCTATAAAGCTCTTCCAAAGAGGTGAGAGGGCAACCAATGATCTTCTGGGCAATGATGTTGACCTTCTGGAGCACTGTCCTATCTGCCACTGTGCAAGTGACAAACCATACACAGGTGCAGTAAGTCCTTTAAGAGTAACTCTCTTAAGGGAAACTAAAAGCAGGCACTATGACCCTACTTTAAAAATATGGGCACCGAAGGTATTATTTTAGCATGGACGTGTGGCACACTTCAGGTCCAAAGTATTTCAGAGTATCAGTGATCTCACTTGGTGCCTCCTTTCAGATAGTCCTCCACTTAGAACTGTTTGTTTAGTGACTGTTTAACGTTATGGCACTGAAAAAAGTGACTTATGCCCATTTTTCACACGACTGTTCCAGCATCCCTATGGTCACGTGATCAGAATTTGGAGGCTTGACAACTGGTATATATTTATGATGGTTGTGGTATCCAGGGGTGATGTGGTCACCTTTTGGGACCTTCTGATGAGCAAAGTCAATGGGGAAGCCAGATTCACTTAACAACCTTGTTACTAACTTAACAACTGCAGTGATTCACTTTAACCATGGTGGCAAGAAAGGTTGTAAAATGGGGCAAGACTTTTAACTGTCTTGCCCAGCAACAAAAATTTGGGTTCAATTGTGACTGCAAGTCAAGGACTCCCTGTACATCTTTTCCTGGGGTCATGCAATGTCTGTTGAGCCCAGAAGGAGTACAGTGTGTCCCTACATCTATTCTGAAGTCATTTTATGGCTACTGCAGTACGTTCCTATATATGTGTTATCAAACTAAGAATCTGAAATTCTCAGAAGGAATGGCTGGGTCTTATACCAATTCGTAGCCATTCAGCGTGAATGTAAGTGTGCCTTTTCATCTTAGATAAATGCTCCCATGTTCAAGCTTACAGATGGTTTAGCTAATGTCTTACTTATCTTTTTAAACACAATTAATGCTAATGATATTTGAAGTACCTGAAATTCTTGTTCTAGTTTCTTCTCTATCCAATCAGTTACATGAACCAAAGTCACTTCTCTTTCACCAAGCTTTGGCCGAGCTTTTAGCTCCAGGTAAGGGGGTCTTCGGAAACCGTACCTGTAGATAAAGAAAATGATCCAGGTTAAGATGTTTCTATCTCAGATTTGTGTCCCATATTTTTTTTTTCAAAGTCCTCCGGGAGAATATAACCCATGCTCAGCTAAGATGAGACATGCTTATCCAAAGCCGTCCTGGGATATTCTTGGACAAACAGAAATTTTAACCTAGAAATGTTTCCACCACACCATGCTCCTCATCCCTAATCTTGCTGGCTATGGATTCTGGGACTTGTGTTCCCAGACACCTGAAGCACTCTAAGTCAGGAAAGGCTACACACTACCTCATATAGTCTAATCTTGTGCATTTGCATTTTATGTTCAAGGATTTGGTGCTTGGAGGAGAGTTGGAGGCTCTAAACCAGGCCTGTACAAGGCACAGAGGAGAAAGGTCACTGATAAATTAAAAATAACTGTGGGCTGCAAAGGAATATCTGGCATACCAATCAGCTATTTGGCAGCAAGTGGAGTGCCAGTGGGACTGAAGCTGGCAGCAATGGTGAGTCTTGGAAATGCTTAGCAATGCATCTTTTGGTACAATAGTGAATTTATTACTGTTTTAAAACACTTCAGCAGACAAGGTTGCTTGGTAGGCTGCACGCAGTCCGCAGGTCATATATTGTGCAGGACTAAACTATTGTGTTCAACAAAACATTTATTCCAAGTGAGTACATATCTCAACATTAAGAATAGTCTCATTTCCCCCTTCAGTTCAGGGGTGTAGCGTTGTTTCTTCTATGTATCCTGTAAACAGAAGTGTCCAATTCACAATGTATCATTTTGAGATCAGATATATATTAACGATCAGTGTTACTGCTGAAGTCTAGTACCCAGCTAATACTAGGTGAAGGACTTTATGTGTGAAGAATTTTATGCACCTGACTTATAACTGAAATTAAGTCCTAATGATCTAGCAATAGGTACTATGATTCTCTCAACAATGACCACAGTGAGAAATCAAATCAGCACTTTCTTACATTCTTACTTGTGAGGGGAACATGACATGGATTTTATAATTTGTTAACTAACCTAGTTACTCTATATTTTAACTTAATTCTCTCTCTTTTATGAGGATTTATCAAACTACTATAGACTGGAATGTAGGAAAACTTTTTATCCTATCGCTGTATGGATTGGTTGATAGCTTCTAACATTCCTAAATGGAAAAGAAAACTAAGGAAGAATGGATGGATACTATTTCCTGATAAGAAAAAAATTGTTAGTGCTAAACTGGTATGTCTCGTATTTCTCTTTGTGAATTTCAAACAACTTTTGTAGTTGATTTACTGTACAAAGGAGAGGTTACTTTTATCCTGTCTGATCAACTTTCCTTTTGCATTATCTTTGTTGTGTTATCTATAAAAGGGAATGTAAGATGGGTCTCGGGGTTCTTCTTTTTCCCAGGGAGATCTCTCTTTAACAGGGTACCCTAATAAATTGCTTTTAAATGATCTTCTGACTTGGTTGTTTATTGGGAAGGTAAACCAAGGCAGAACATAGGGCCAGATTTGGCTATCGCTTGTCATTAACCCCTTTCCCAATAGAGTTTAAAGTAATTGTGTATTGTTGGATTAAGATATTGTTTTCTGAATTACACTGTGCACTTCCCAGAGGTTAATTTCCTCAAATGGAATTCAATCTTGATTAAATGGTGAAGATATTGGACTGAGAAGGCCCAGCTTCAATTCCTCGCTGAATATGGATCTCACTGAGGTGTTGGGAGAATAAAACTATGGGAAACCCTATATAAATTGCTTTGAACCTCCCAGACAAAAAGGCAAGATAAAAATGTTCAGTGAAACATTCCCAGATAAATGAAAACAAAATTTCATTCACAATTTCATTCCATATTTCTTTCAGATAAAAAGAAGCACTGAAATTTTCTCTTTTTGTACTATTTTCAATTATAAGAAACCACTGGAAAAAACTTTGGCACTGACTTCTTAATTAATACCTCTGCTGATCCTCAAGTAGTTCAACATGCTGTTTTACCCAGCATTTTTCTGTATTATTCTATATTAAAGGAAAGGAAGGGTGGGAGAAAAGAAAAAAACAAGTGGTAATCTTTCTTTTTGACCTGATTTCTGGTTGCTGTAGCTTTTATTCATGGATGATAACATTTCTGAGCTTTCTTAGCTTTTCAGTTTCTGGAAGTTTATAAAATGCATAATAAGAAATGGAACTGTACATTTTTACAAAATATCTCTTTTTGGATAGAAGAGTAATTCAATCACACGAGCAGTTTAAAATAACAGCCAGTTCCATTATCTTTGTTCATAGGAATTAATGGCAAAATCCCACGCACTTTGTCTCAGAATTAACTTATTTAACCCTGAATAAAATGGTACATGTCAGACTGTAGCTTATGACTCACAGATTGGTACTGCAATTTTCTAAAAAGGATCCTTACTAAGAATCATGTGAATACTTGTTGAATTCTGTATAAAAATGATCACACACTGCAGACCAACTTTGATTTTGTATGACCTCAAAAATTTCTGCTGCATTCTTCTTTATAGTTTATTAGTCAAATGGTCCAGCTTTTTTATCTTGGGTGTGCGTGAGAAAAAGTGGGAAATGAGGGAACTGGAAAATAAAATATGTTTTAGGGACTTTTTTCACAGCCACCCATAAAAACAATAAATGTATTTTGGCTCTTGAATAAGTTTGAGTGCCACATTATACAGGATAGATTCCAAAATCATAAGTCTTATTAATGACACTTACCATATACGATCAGTAGGTGGGGGCGGAATGTTAATTGCTAACATCCCTTTACACTCTTGAACCTCAACGGTGAGCAGGAGGGGTGTATTGGAGACTTCCTCAATCTTTTTCTTAATGAATTCTGTCTCAGTTGCCTTCTGGAAATATTTTGACTTGGTAATTTTATCCACAAATCTCATTATTTTACTTGTTCGGTGCCCTCCCCCATACCTTTAAGGAAGGAAAGAAGAGAAAGCCGTCTAAGTGAGTTTCAGCTACCCTTTTAAAAAAACAAAGGCTAATGCTTTATGGTATTCTGCAGCTGAAAATATAACATGTTAAGGGCACAGAATGCCAATCTGCTACTACAGATTGTGAAGTGTTGCGTAAGTATACAGACAGCCCAGACTTATAGTTTTGGTGAATAAAAAAAGAAAGATCCAAAGACCTGGCTCTGAAAACTCAGAATCAGAACTAATTTAAAATCAGATATGTCTTCTCACATAATAAGGATTTTGGTAAAGTGTTGTTGGCCCAAAATTCACTATTACTCTTGGATAGCCCTACATTTTACTGGGGATTCTCCCAAATGTTTGAGAGCTTTGGGCAAACAGGTGGCTTACTTAGCTGCAGTGGACCTTTCAACCCCAAACTGCAAATTCAAGGATTTAGCAAGAGAATGCACAAATTAATGAATTCTGGATTTTTCCTTATAGCATTATTCTCCACTTTTTATATTATGGTTTTGTTGCACATTTATGTTTGATTATTACTTGGCATGGATTCCAGTAGATTAGAAATTCAGAATATAAATGTTAAAAAAAAGGAGTCCCTGGGCATTTTATTTGAATAGTTGTTTCTGACTATAGGGGGTCAAGTGCTCATCTCCGTTTCAAGGCCGTTGAGCCAACACTGCCCAAAGACATTACTGCGGTCATGTGGCCAGAATGATGTCACAAGTGCTGTTACCTTCCCACCAAAGTGGTACCTATTTATCTACTTGTATTTGCATCCTTTCAAACTGCTATGTTGGCAGGAGCTGGGGAATACAAATGTTAGATATAAGAAAATGAAGAAGACTGTAAATAAAAGTCAGATATTTTTCTGAAAATAAATAAGCTATGCCTGCTAGAAATTTGACAATGCTGCTAAACATAATCTATACAGCCAAAGGTCTACTTTAAGTTATATTGATTAATCTTTGGATGATCTGCAGTTGACTGGCAAGAATCAACTATTATTACTACTACCCTATTATTAAATAGCAGCAGCAGCAAATCTTCTCTGCTGAAATGGGGAAAAAGGATCTTTTTTTTTCTGCAACAGATAAAGCAGAATAATCTTTCTCTCAAGTAAAGACCTATAAAAATAGCTACAGGAAAATAATTATTTCTACAACTTCGATCATCTGTTACAGTTGCTAAATTATTTACATTCTTGCTAAGAAGCTGCATTGATCTATATGCTAGACCAAAGAAACATTTCAATGTCTGTTATCTAAATGTTTCTTTGCACTAACATACAAATATTTTCAGACATCAGCTAACCAGCAATTCAGAAAAAATCCATGAAACATTTATCTTTGATTAAAGAACTGTATTTCATTAGTGGATATTATTCTCGTTTCTTGGTATCACTTAAAATATACAAACTGGATGTTCTTACACATTGAATTTGTTTACTGTAAAATAAGCTGCTATATACTTGAAAATGCTAGCATGATTATAATTCTTTCTTAGACCTAATTCATTCTAAATCTTTTATCCAAAAACTGCAGAAAACAGCCATCTGCAAAACCAGATAATTTACATGATGACTTGTAAATTTATAAATACCAAATATGGAAAAAACAGGGCTGCCTCATATCCCCTATAATTTTTCTACTAACTAGCAAATATAATTAAGAATTACTCAATGAGATAAGGCCATTTGAATTACTGTAATAAGAAATATCTAATTATTTCCAGATGATATGGCCAGTAAAATTGGCACTCTGAAAACTGAATTACAGAAAGCATTAAAATGATAAATGCAGACTGGAAGCATTGAAACATTTATAGAGTTATTTCTTAGCTTAAATATCGTATATATAGATCAAATTTAATCTGAGATATTGTATAATGTCTTCAGGGCATTTGAGGCAAGCACATAACACATCCCTGCAACTCCTTAAACCAATCATGTTGCTATTATTGACTGACTCCCCAGTTTTTGTAAATTGCCCTAATGTGGAGCGTCTGGATGGTCTGTACAAAATTTAAAATACAAAATGAAAAGAAGTCCCGCAATCAATAGGAATCCTGCCAATGGCCCCCAAAAACATTCCTTCCTGGTGCAAAGCAAAGGGACATGGTTTTCACGGCTTCACAAAGTGTCAGGGGGACAGGGGGCTACTCAAATCTTCAAAGGCACGTAGTTCCAAAGTGCAGGGGCCACAATAGAGAGAGCCCTGCTGTCTGGCCCATGTTCTCCTCGCTTCACAAGAAATGTCACAAGAAGGCCCACATGCATATAGACCTTCTTGTGACATTTTTTATTGGATAGGCAGGTTCAATCCTAGCAAATCAATTCCTAATGTCTTTTCCTAGAGTTGCACTGCAGCTACGGAGGAGACTTGCACAACCCAAGGGAAAAAAAGGCAAGTGTTTTAAGGAATTGCGGATAGGAAATATATTATCATTTCTGTATGTTCCAAAGTACCTTTTGCCTTTGATTCCAGGTATTACACAAACCTACTTTGAAATAATATAACCATTTGGTATATACATATATCTGCATGCGTATACATACACACTCACACAGACAAAACTAGATTTATTTTTAATGTGAGAGAAAGACAGAGAAGATGCCTTGGATGGAATGACTAAGCATGGAAGAAAAAAGGCACCACTGTTGATAATGTACACAATAGGCAGAGACAAACTGAACCAACGGTTGCCTAAAGGCAAAGACTCACCCTTCTGCTCCTGCCATTAAAGACTTTTCACTTCCTGATGCTTCTGGAACATCATCTTCCTCTGAGGATCCTGCACTAGAAGATTCTTCATCACTGTCTGCAAGGTAATATGCCCTTGGCCTGAAACTGAAAGGAGGGACAGAGGTCAAGACAGAAGCAACACTTCATCAAGGTTGGTCAGAACAGTGTTTCGATGCCTTGGGCAATAGAGACTTTCTACCATTTACTTTGGTCTCCCCATTTTTTTTTAAGTGCACTGGAGTTCAGACCAAGGGTAGAAACATTGGGTACATCAGTCTGCTTTCCCTGAACACAACCATGCCAGACTTTGTTTAAAATAAAAGGAAACAGGTTTGAATATCCTACATGCGTTGAATGAAATGTCAAATAAATTAAAGACATATAAGGATGCGTCTCTTTCATACCTAACTTCCCAATATAATGGAATACAATGCTGGCAGTTATAACATTAAGATGAGGATGATGATAAACTTGGCGTGTACTTTCAGTTTTTAAATGTAATGGGATAATGCTTCTAAGGTCCAAATGAATTGCTGTATGAAAAGTCAGAATTGATTTTGTAAGTGCTGCATGCTTCCAGAAGAATATGCATTCCTTCCACTGTCTCTTCCACAGATATGTACCTAGCCGATTAACCTAATACCCAGAGCTGGGTCCTAGCCGCGCCCCATTCTAGGCCGCTAGCAGTATTGGAATCAGAAATATTTTAAACAAGACATTTGGCAAATAAATGCAAAAGACAGTTACAGTCTCAGATGCGAAGCGTGCCTGGCATGCTAAGGAAGAGTTTCCATAAGGCTTGGAGCGTCTTTGCAGGATCTCTTGCACTTCAGGTTGTCTTTAAAAAGAAATTCCCAGTTGATTGTGCCTTAATTGTGAATTGTGACTTAAGGGGAGAAATGCTCAGCACCTCTACATTTCATCCACAGTTTTTCCTGGGATTGAAATCTATTCCTAATAAGTCTCAAGAGATCGTCCTTTAAACCTAGGTTAAATAAGTGGCAAAGTTAGAAAGAAAATCAACGCCTTTAGCGAGATTTGATTTGGCAGCAATCTCAAGCTTCTTCCCAGCTGAGAAAGAACTTATTTTCCTTGCATGTAATAGACACAGTACTTTTGCAAAATCTGTGCAGCTGCCTATCTATAAGCTGACTACAAAATGCATGGCATAATTATCTGACTTTTTTTAAAAGAAAAAAAAAAGGAATAGCTCTTTAAAAATTCAATCACTATAGAGTAAAGATAAAGATTGTTCAACAGAGATCCTCAAACTTTTTCTTGCCAATAATCTTTTGTCACCCATAATTCCCCAAGATAATTTTCTTTTGGGTTGATTGGGAACCTTTCGGGATAAAATTGGAAAAAGGGACAGTTTGAAGTAGATAATGCTAAACAAATAGTAGTTTTTAAGAAGCTCCCCATCCACCCACTGATACCTTCTAAAACAAGTTTACTATTTTTATTTAACACTTCGTTGTTATGTATTGTACATAACATGTATGTAGCCTCCTGTACCAATCTCCAGGAATAAACAGTCACTTTTTCTTTGCTTTATGCTTCAGTGTTATGAACAGAGAATCCTTTTATTTTTCTTCCCTCACACCACACCCCGATAACAATTTACAATCCTTTATCAAGGTGCACCCCTGCCCAAAAGAAAAACAGGTCAGAAAATTCTACCCAGTAAAATTCGTTCACAGTTTAACAAGCTAAATATTTAGAATTAAAGCAAATGCAACAACTACGTAAAACACAAAGGTTTTTAAGTCCTCCCCTTAAAAGTAGTCAAACTGTCACGAGAGGGAACTGATTCCTAAGAGCCAAAGATTGAAGAGTGACACTCTGGAAGAGCAAATGGAAAGACGACCTTGATAATATTTGGGTAGGTCAGGAGCCTACAAATTCTCATAAAAGGAAAAATTAAAATCCTCAGCATAAGAAGATGATAATCCTAACCCTAACCCTTTGGAAGCCCTAGAGAAGAGAGGGCTAAAAACCATTTTTTCCTGTATCCTGTCATTTCTCCAAAACGTCTATACCAATCTGATCAGCAAGTGTTTTACTCAATAATTATATGATCAAAATGCAGTCGCTTCACAGAAAACCATGCTGACATGAAAATGATACACAGACACGGTGACCACCACTCAAATGGTACTGTACAGTTAGTGGTACCTTAGTACTCAATTGCTTTGAAACTCATCGAATTTAGTACTCAACACATTCTGACATGAAAATTTTGTCCCAGTACTCATTGTTTGTTCGGTATTCAACGCATGGTGTTGGCTGCCTTATGACTCACTATATTATTCCTTATAGGGAAAATTTGTTTGGTATTCATTGATTTTGCTATTAATCACATCTCCTGGAACAAGTACAACTGTATTTGCATGCCAGTATCTGATTTGTTACACCACAAGGATAATGATATGGTCAGATATATCATCATTAGCTCCCCCTGTCTTAGAAATTAACTCAAATTTTAATATATTTCACAATTTGACAAATGTTCCTTTAATTGTCTGGGAAAACAAGTAATCTAGAATATCCTACCAACTTTTATAGACTGCTATGAATATTTCTTTCCCACTCTCCAGAATTTCTCCACAAAGATTTACATGATAGACTCCAGCAACTTTCAATTAGGGCAGCAACATTCTCGCCATCTTCTAATCCACCCAGAGCAGAGCTCTTGGTCATTTTTTAATAATTCCACATATGTTTCTGTTCACTAGATTAGATTTAATAGGAAGTCATAGCCACTGCAGACAGTAACTGTAGTCTGGAGTTTCAGGAACTGCTTCTGTAGTTTTTTCTAAAATGATGACATTCTCATTGCTTTTGTTACAGAACAGTAGGAAGTCCACCACCAATCCAATCCAATTATTTTATTTTTGTAATGATCATTGGCAATCTATGTTATTATCTTGTGTTTTAAGCCAAGGATAAAATAAATGCCTTAGCTTTCAATTTTGTGCTTCAAACAGCAAAGTTCAAATCCGCCTTCAGCCACAGAGGTCTCTCTCTTTCATATATATATATATATGTGTGTGTGTGTGTGTGTATAAAAATATCTATCTATCTATCTATCTATCTATCTATCTATCTATCTATCTATCTATCTATCTATCAAATTTATTGGCCACCCATCTTACCATATGGTAACTCTGGATGACTTACATCTTAATCTTAGTTAAAAGATAAAATGTTAAAATGTTAAAATCAAATCTTAAAACCAGGGACACATGGGGAGGTTGGGATCTGCTGTTGCTCAATCAACCACCTCCACTGCGCCTTTCCCCCACTGGGGCCACAAGCCATGTCTTTAGGCCCTTCCGAAAAGATAGGAGGGTTGGCGTCAACCTCACATCAGAAGGCGAGATGTTCCAGAAGGCAGGAGAAGACCCTTTATACACTATGTTGAGCTTGGGGGAATAAATGCCATAATGTAAATAAATATCCTTGTTACCTTTTAATTCGTTATAATGAAATCCATAATAACAAGAAAAAAATACTTCTGAATGCTACAAGCCTTCTGATAAATGTTCAAATTTCTCTTTAAAACCATAAAAAAGGAAAAACAGTGTCCTATGATAAAACACTTAAACATCTCTGGTCATAAGTACCCTTCCATGAAAAAAAGGACTATTCATAGGATTTTCTAATATTATTAGACCAGAAGAACAATGAAAATGCATTATTTGCACTCCGGCACCTTCATTATTTAGCACACGGTTTTATTTACAGATTTCAGAAGGCTAGCTCTGAAAGGTCCTTTAAAAAAAAACAATTCAAAAGTTAGAAGCATTCATGCTTATCATTCTACCCATGGCTCAATCTTTCCAGACTTATTGCTTTACATTGCAGGAGTGAATAAGGTAGACATTTAGACAGACTAGAGTATTGGAATGGCACATCTTCAAGCAGTATCAATAATATTAGAGAAGTACTACTTGTATTAAGTGTTGTTTGCTTCCAAATCTAGAGAGCACATTTCTCCATCCCTTGACACCCCCACAGGCAGACATACTTCAGACATTTCAAGAACTGTGGAAAGAAACAGTATCCTTTTAATCCTCTATTATTTCAGGAGCTATTGCAGTGATTCCAGCTAGAACTAGTATCCAGGATACACAGCTATAAAGTATGGAAATCATACAGGTTTGATCAAGTATTTGAGAAGGCAACTGTTATGTGAATTAAAGCTAATTATCAAGAGACACTGGTTCCAAAGAACTGACCTCTTCGTACCCAGATTATGTAGCAAATGCACAGTACAGTGGTTTCAACAACAGGGAAAGGAAAAACCCTTCAAATTCAATTTGAGGAAACCTTCTGAACGTTTCAGCACTAACAGAATCAACAGCACACAGAATGGGATGATATGACATATACCACTCACCAGAAAAAAATCCCAGATTGACGAATCCAAATATTATTAAATATTATTAAAAAGAAGAGAAAATGAAGGGGAAATAAGAACAAGTGTTAAGTTAGAGAATTATTTCTGGCTAATTTCTATTAAGACATTTTATTTGGCCAGCATGAAATAAGCAGAATTGGCTACCATTTTAAAAAGTGCATTTTGTTAAGTCATATAGTATAATCTAGACTATTATTAAAGTATCACATACACTGGTTATGAAAACATAAATTAAAATATATAGCTGACAAGTTTTAATTTTTTAAAATGTACGCAGAAGTCAACCATTTTGGGGGATGCAAAAATATATACTATTGCAGAGTTATGTGAAAAGTATAATCAGCTACATCTAGTGTCACCATAAACAGGGCAAGCTAGTCAACTAAAATATGAAATCAACGAAGAAGGATCTCATAGAAAAAATAATTTAAAAATTAGTCACAATTCATCCATAAATACGACCTGTTTATTTCAGGTTTTATTAAAACAGAATGTAAACACATTCATTGATTGTTGTATGACTGCATGCCTTGAGTCTCAGCCATATAGCAATACTTCTTTCCTAAGAGCTTGGGAGCTATGCCAACAGCAAAATATCTTTTCTTCCACTTAGTGCAGGCTGGATATATGTCAGCTTTACTGCAGTTTGCCCATCTCCTGCAAGGCTGAGAAATGGATCTTTCAGCAGGAAAACAATTAACAGCTGACGGGAGAACCAAACACATCTGAGAATTTAAAATCTCAACCAAAGTTAAGCACAGGCCAGAGCATGAGATGATGAGGGAAAGGAAGGAAGGTAGGTAGGTAGGTAGCTAGGAAGGAAGGCAGGCAGGCAGGCAGGCAGGAAGGAAGGAAGGCAGGCAGGAAGGAAGGAAGGAAGGAAGGAAGAAGAAAAATTCTTTGTTGCATTTTGTGGCTAGCTGAAATTTAAATTGGATCTATATATACATTCCCAATATGCCCAATATTTATATTTCAGAGTCAGTTTGCTGGGATGGTTAAGGCAGAGTCTTAAATGTGTATTATAGGCTCCTGAACTCTTTGCTAGAGCCCACAATGGTTCAACAATGACAAGTACTGCTGGAACCAAAATTCTGCTGGACCAGCTCTACAGACACCTGCTCCCTGCTGTCACCGTAGTTACATTTTTAATCCCACTTTTTCATGTATAACTCAATACATATTATGAGCATCAAACAACAACAATATAGAAAAGGCTCATTGATGCATTTTGAGCTTGGGGGCAACAGAATTAGACTGCATACAATAGCTTTCACATAAACAATTAATGATCGTCCTCGACTTACGATGACAATAGAGACCAGTATTTATGTTGCTAAGTGAGAAATTTGTTATGTGAGTTTTGCCCCCGTTTTCAACTTTTCATTAGTTAAGTGAATCACTGCAGTTGTTAAATAACAAACATTGTCGTTAAGTGAACCTGGCTTCCCCATAGACTTTGCTTGTAAGAAGGTTGCAAAAACTGATCACATGACTCTGGGACACTGCGACCATCATATATATGAGCCAGTTGTCAAGCATCTGAATGTAAATCACATGACCATGAGGATGCTGCAACGGTCATAAATGTGAGAAATTGTCATACATCACTTTTTTCAGTGCTGTTGTAACTTTGAATGGTCACTAAATGAACTGTTGTTGTAAATCAAGGACTACCTGTTCTACATTATTTACTATAGAGAGTTCATTGGGTTCTTTCATGGATAAATGCAGACTGTCGCTCCTACTATTTTTTTTTCTGAGCAAAATTTAACTGATAACCATATTCCTTACCCTTCTTTACCAAATTCTCCAGATTTTAATGCTTCACCCAGCGGTTCTTTCCCAAGTTTGGTCAAATTCATCTTTGTCTCGAGGGTCATCAAAAAAGATCCATTGTACAGTATTTCCAAGTCAATCCAAAGTCCTAGGATTGTTGTTACATATAAACAACATCATGTTACATATAAACAACATCATGTTACATATAAACATCATGTTACATATCATGTTACATATAAACAACAAGAAGTACTTTTCAACAAGTAAGATTTTCCAGGAGAAAAATTTGTCACAGGCTGCAAATTACACAGGTGCCTTCAGATGGTTTCCACCTCTTTTTTAGAAGTCAAGGCTATTATTATAAACGTAAACAGCAATTTGATCGGTAAAGGCAAGCATGATGTGAAGGCTTCATTACAGAAGCCAGCAGATTTAGAAATGTTAGCACCCTAATTGGTATGGTAATAGTGTTTGCATTCTGCTGTGTTGATCTTGCAATTAGATTGTTTCCAAATCCTAAAAGTTTCTAGAAAATAAGCGGGTGAGTCTTTCTCAAAAAGAGACTTGCTACGGAACACTCACTTTCTCTTTTTTCATTTTAAGAAAACCTGATGACCTGTTTTTATCCTGTGATACACAACTGTTCAAATTGTAAAATTCATAGATTGCTAGCTTGTGACAGTGGAGCCTCCAAAGTAATACAGGCGAAAGGATGTTTTGTTGTATTCAGACAATAGCAAAATAGAATGTGAGCTCAGTTAACACATACATGCAAATCTTACATTGTTTCATGCTGTTGGATGTTTGCATTTCAGTGTGAATAAGAGGCAAATCTATTCAGAAGAATAGTAGCGGACTAATTTCTACACTGCACACTGCAGCAGCACTACTTATATGTAGGATCTTTGCATAAAAATAGGCTAAGTCTAACGTCCCGTCTCCTCCTCTGATCAAATTTTCCTCTTTGTGCTGCAAAGGAATATAGGTAATCCTCAATTTACAACCACAATCGAACCTGGCATTTTGATCTTAAATCATTGCGGTCATGAAACAAGGCACCCATACAAATGTTTCACTCAATCTCTACAATCCTGGCGCCTCCAGTTATAGCTGTAAAGCGATCCTAGGGATCATTAAACAGAATATAGGATGCCTGAGGGAGGGAGGGAGGGTCTGCAAGGCCTTGGCTAGCTACAAGATATAGTAGCATTGACAAAGCTACTGTGAGCGAGAAGGCCTTGAACCTTCTCTCTGCCCCTCCAGGTCTGACAAGCTTTCAGTCTGCTGCCCCACCCTTTTACACTCAGGAGATAAATTGTTCCCCTTATCTTTGGGGTTTTCTGCAGATGCTGACAGGTGCAACCAGCTGATGCAAGATGCAGCCTTACAACAGAGGCTGCCTCACACCATTCTGCATGTGGCTGCTGTGGCCTAGCAGGATATGGGAGAGGCTAAAGGCCTCCATGACACAGCAGCTTTGTGTGTACTGGTGGAGAGAGATAGGCAGGTGTGGGGAGTTACAGTGCCCCTGCAGTTAGTCATAAGGAGGGGTGGAGCACCCAAATGTTTATTATGTGACTGCAGAGGTGCTGCAATAACCGTAACTTCAAATATAGTTATACATCCATTTTTTTCAGCACTGTTATTATTTTGAATGGTCACTGAACAAATGGTCGTAAATTGAGGACTAGCTTTATGATTGGAGATATGATGATTTCATCAGAGTCAACAGGGCTACAATTTTTGGACTGTTTAAATTTACTTTGATGGCAGATAAAGTTGCCAAGGATGGGCAGTTAAAATTGTAAGAAGTTTAAAAATAAAAACTC